AATGCCCTTTCAATTGTCAGAAGTCTTCACTTCGAAAATTATGTAGAAGTCTTTTACTTCGAAGATTATATATAATTTTCGAAGTGAAAGACTTCTGACAATTGAAAGGGCAATCATTCGATTACCCTTTCAATTTTCAGAAGGAATTTATTTCGAAAATTATATGCAAATGTACGCACAGCGTTGTTCAAGAAAAAAATTTAAAATATAAATATATAGTAGTAATAGTACCAAGTACGAACAATTTTTTGTAGCGTGTACAATTTTTTAAAGAAAAATAAAAATAACGATAAGAAAAGAAAAGTTTCGTCAATATAATTAAATCAGATATCACTTACTTGACGACATGCAATTTCGGCATATTTATCTTGTAGTCGAAAATGAGCGTCCTGCCAATCCTTAACGTACATTAATGCTTTTAAAATATTTTTTTTTAGTCGGCTCCTGACCTCACTCAAAACTCTTTTATCTGCACTAAAAGCAGATTTCGAAGCAACAATGCTAACCGGAGGTGTCAGCAGATCTTTTGCAATCTCAAATATAATTGGTCAACGTCGTTCATACTTTCACCAGAATTTAATTACATTGTCCAAACTTTTTTTAATTGTTTTATCTATTGGCATATTCTGGTTGTAATTCAGCAGAAAATGCATTATAACTTAAGCCCGTAGATGTTTGATGAGAATGAGATACAGATGTTGACGACATGACAATGGTAGTAGATGAATACATTGCAGATGAATCATATCTATACGAATTAATGCCTTGAAATAAATTAAATATTTTCGCATCTTCTTCTTCAATTTCAGCGGAAGGAGTATGTGCAGATGGTACCCGACTAATATTAGTACCCATTCGGTTCGCATATAATTCATACATTTCACATAATATTTGCCCTAAATTTCTATATATGATAGGTGTATCAAATGTTAAGGTGTTTGAAATTTGATCAATTATATATTTAGTTCCCGATAAATTATATCGGGGTCCATCACGCATCCTAAAGGAAATAACATAGGCAAATCTTCCCAATATTTTCTAAATTTTAGTTCCATAGTAATTATAATTTCACTAAAATTAGGGTCATTTCTGTATTTATGAAATGTTCTTACAATTATATAAAGACGTTCAAGCACCATATAGCTGGTGAGATAATAAACGCCCGATAAAATTTTAGTGGTTTCATAAAAGGATGTCAAAAATCTTTTAACTTTCAAAACTATTTGTTAATCACGTTCAGTCAACATACCCTCGTCATCACTTCTAATGTGTCTATTGTTATAAAAGTCAGTTATTAAATGTTCAAGACATTCACATGACTTTAATAACAAGTAAAGTTTCATCTATGCCTACGTCGCTAACAAATGTTTTAGCATTTTACACTCATATTTCGGCACAATAATCCTCAAATGCTTGTTTTCTATTTGGGGAGACTGTGATATATATTAGCGCGTTTCTGATCTTTTGAAATTCATCATTTATATGTTTTAAACCATTTTGAACAATTAAATTCAAAATATGACATACACAACGAATATGAAACAAATACCCACCAAAATTAGATTGCAGTACCCTATGCAATTTATCGACAACTACTTTATTAACACTAGCATTATCGAAAGTAAATTAACGAATTTTACCTTCGTAATGATATTCTCTAACAATACTAATAATAGCATTAAATATATTATTAGCGTTGTGAGGAAACTCAATAATTCAAAAAGCAATAATTTTTTTTATGCATGTACCAAAGTGGGTATATATAATGTGCAGTTGCAGCTATATATGCTCTTTTATTTATCCCTTCCCATATATCCAAAGTTAAAGATATGACACCCCAATATTTTTGCAAATCCATAATTAATTGTTGTTTTGTTGAAGTAAAATATTGTATTGTCTAGGAACGTAGAATGTTTCGACTTACCCCAACGTACCTTGGCTGCAAATATTCTTTTACATACGAGACGTAGTGTTGGTTGTCAATTAATGCCAAAAGCAACTCAGCACCAGCAACAAGCTTCACCATTCCGGTTCGAACTCTCTCCTCCAAATACACCTATGTGGATAGGGGTGCAGCAGAAGTACCGGCGTTTGGACTGCCAAATTACAATTGTGTTTGACAGCTTGGAATAAGTCCATGTTTGGCCGCACATACTTTGTAATAACGGTTGAGATGGGTGGTACAAATTCCTCTTTGTCATGCCAATCTTTGTTGGCAGTATTTACATACGACTTTGGATTCTAGGACTCCATTGACGATTTTTCCCGTTGAAATCAACTTAAAGTGATCCCAACATTTTACTTGTTTTTTCCCCTCGCATCAGGAATATTTAATTCAGCCTCTTCTTTCTGATCGTGTTCCGCTTCGAGAACGTCAACATCATCCAAATTAATTAGATAATTTGGATTGCCGCTTACATGATGATGAAAATCCAAATTTGGAATATCTTCATATAGGGGTACGTCATTTAGACCTTTAAATTGATTCTGAAATTGATTTTGCGGTGTCATAGGCGATTCTTTTCCTCCCACACCGAACAAGTGTTCGACAAATGTGCGTGGATCCATTTGTTTAATTGTAATAAGTAATAACTAGTAAAAAAATAATTGTATAAATGTAGTAAGAAATGAAAATTAGATAAAATTTCAATAAATATAGTGAGAACTGAGAAATGAGAATTAGATATTGTATAAATTGTATATAAAAATAGCACAACTATCAACACAACACAAGAGAGTTGAGAGAAATATAATTAAGAGTGAATTGTAGAAAATCTTGTGGCTAAATGCCACTATTTATAGAAGAAGAAAAAAAATTAAAGGATCGAAATGGTCACTGAAAAAATTCAGTGACCGTTAACGGTCACAAATTTAAAAAATATATATATATATATCCAGGGATCGAAACGATCACTGACTCACTGATAAAGTGAACGAAACGGTCACTTTTTAAAAAAAGTGACCGTTTCGATCACTTTCCAAAACGAGCCACGAGTTGGGCTCGTTTATTTTGCTAGCCGAGCAGGCTCTGCTCGCCCATTGAATCGGCCAGTTCGGCTCGCGCTCGAATTCGTGTTTTTACGAGCCCAAGTCGCCCACGAGCTCAATTTTTGCTAGTCGAAGAGGCGTTCGGCCCATTTGCCACCCCAAACTGTGTAAGTTGTTTTTCATTTCTTTTCTGCACCGTTTAAGAAAACTCACATTTTGCAGAGGTTCTCATTTTCTAGAGGTCAAGCATGGGGACCATATAACTGATCTATTGCACCTTACACATTAGCAAGCACATGACCCTCACTTTTACTTCTTATGGGTGCTTCATGAAGACTTGGTTATAATATTTAGCTGCTTCTGCTACAAAGAAAGTTATGCCGACCTACCATTGGCATGGAGGCTTCAAATTTGGCATATTTCACTTTTTTCAGCCATGCTAATTTTCTTAATAGTATAATCTTTCAACAAGACAACAGCAGATAGCACTATGACAAAGAACACTTGCTTTAGCACCAAATGAAGCGCTCGAGGAATCTCAGTATTTCGTGCTATCAAAAAACCGAGCTTCAGTATCGTTTGACTGCGTCCGGCATGATTGCTCTAGCCGTGAAAGCTAGCGTTGCTCTAGATATAATCAACTCCTCCGCCTCAACGCACTTATCCCTAAATAAGGTTTTTTCTTCCCAATTCTAACAACTCTCTGCAAGTTTTATTTTGCTCTCCTATTAAGAATAAATCTCTATCTAATTTGCACTCTATGCTAAAAGTAAGATCGGATCACATTGTTAAGGGATAAAAATCTCACATTGATTAAATACCGAAATTATGACTAACTTAAAAAGATCTTGGGGTACCCCTTTCAATAAGTTTGACATTATTAAGATGAACACCAAGTTTTAACATGATATCAGAGCCTATTAAACTTTAACAAGCGATTCGATCCAATTATAAGTCTCAATTAATGAGCAACGGATTGCAAGATTGATTTGCTCAAATGAGCCACCATCTTGCGGGGAGTGTTAAAGGATAAAAATCTTACATCGGTTAGATACCAAAATATTGACCAAACATGGTATTAGAGCCCATTAAGCTTTAGCGGACAATTCGATCCGGTTAAAACACTAAAAATGAGCACACGAATTTCAAGATTGATCTGCTCAAACGAGTCACATCCTACGAGGGCATGTTGAGAGATAAAAATCTCACATCGGTTAAATACCGAAATAATAACTAACTTAAAAAGATTTTAGACTACTTCTCTTCATAAAGTTGAACTTATTAAGATGAACCCCAAGTCTTAGTACACATCATTTCACAAATTTGGTAACAACCAAAATCCTTCAAACCCTTATTACAGACAAAACGATTTTCTTCTCAATGCAAATGGCAAGAGATTAATTAATCAATAGATGAAACGAGTTTGATCCAGTTATAGTGCTAGATCAAAATATTGAAACGTCATCAACTTGCCCGTCGACGGCTAAGTCTGCTACACCATCGACTGGGTGTGGAGAAGGGTAATCTGGAATGGGTAGTCTAATTAGGGTTTGGGTTTTGAAAGTTTAGAACGTGTTAAATACGTGACTAAATTTATTAATTAATTAATATGGTATTATTCAAATTTCTTAATTTTTAAAGGCAGTGGGTCTAATTTGCCCAATAACATTCACATTACTTGAATTTCAGAGTAACATATAGAAGAGGCTATAATAATGCCAACCATATACACTTGGTAAGAATTAGTTACCAATATGCGAAAATCAAGTCATCAAGCAAGGAATGAATATCAAGATTTCTCTAATCGTCAAAAATATATATAGAATATCAAGATTTCAATTTCTAATTTTGACTAATACCCACAAAATTATTAAGGTACCACAGTAACATTTTTAAGGTAGTTTGGGGGCAAAGAGTAATTTTATACGAAATCATAGGGACCCAAGTGCAAGATCTTGAAAAGAAATAAGTCAATAACCTTAAATAGTTGAAATCTGACGTTTGACGGGACATCTTTCCTTCACCTACCGCGGATCCAACATAAATGTAAATATCGACTCCAACGCTGCTTTCAATTTTCATATCCCATTTTTTAAATTCTTCATAAAATGAGCAAAATTTTTACTTTGGCTGAGGTTTCTGAGCACAACAACGCCAAGGACTGTTGGCTCATCATTGATGGCAAGGTACGATAGTTTGTTCTGATTTCTGCCAAAAATTTTACACCCTTTTACGTGTATTTAAATAGGTGTGATCTACTTCACGTTTGCAATATCCATATCTGATAAATATTCGATCTTGCTTGGACTTTTGGTTGCTGTGATTTTGAAGTGAATTTTTTCATTAGTAATTGATTCGATTTTTCAAGTTTTGGTTAGCTGGGTTGGAAACTTGGAATATATGAATCTAATATTTATCTTTTGTGAAAATTATTTTACTGTATAAGTTAAGAAAAACTTTTCGTTTTATAACAATATAGATCAGCTTGATCTGATCCGTACTGGGGACTTGTTTCCAGTATGTGGATTTTATTTGCATGTAAAGCATTAGCAATTTATGCCATTGTTTCGGCATGACAAATCATAGTTGTTGGAGCATAATTTACGACTCTCTAGTTGATGTAACCTATTTTATTGGATCATTTAACTTGAATAGTTTGCCCTATGTTGCATCCATCTGGAGTAAAGAATTCGAGTAAATGTCTTCAAGAGAATCTGTGCCTTAGCTACTGAGTTTCACTAAAAAATTGAGTTAATTATGCATTTGCATTTCTTCGGAGTATAAATGCTGAAGTTTGCTCATTGATCTTTGGTATCATGTTAATTTGTCGTGTTTAATACTGGGAATTCCCAATTTCCCATGTTGGATTCTTGAGTTAAGATTTAAGATTTGTCTTGATGCCATGTCAGAATAGCCATTTGGAATTCTATGTTGTGTGCTTATGGCTGTTTGGTATCATATTAATATGTCATAATTCAGTTCTCGAGATTTGATTCAAGATGTCTTGATGCAATGTCGGGATATCCATTTGACATTCTACATATAGTCACCATAGTCCATTTGAAATTGATACCTTATTCAGAGTAAAAATGGGGAACAGAATCTCATGAAATTATTTCCTCTTAAAATAAACTTTAGAAGGTTTTGCACTTTTTGTTGCTCTCACAGACAACTAATTCTTGTTGCGACCAGCTTAATCTTTATAACCTATTTTTTATTTATTTTATGTTTCATCTTATATTATTTTCTCTCCTAATCACGTTGAACAGAGAACTAGTGAACTACTATAGCTAGGGAATGAAATTATTTTGCACTCTACAATTCCTATCTTCCCAGCAAAAACACGATAAAATCAGCCTTTTAGTGCTTCATTTGCGAAGGGTCAACACACTCCATTTTTGTTGCCTCAACACTTGGAATTTATACACAAATTCGTTGTGTACACCCCAACTGCTAGGGTAGTTTAAACACAGTTTTCCCATCCCACTAAGGCTAAACTGTATAATTTATAGTACTCAGCCAACCGCCCTCAACCGTCGGTCAGATGCCATCCTTGTGCTTGTTTTTGCCAACTGAATATGGACTGAAATCATCCAAGGCAAGAAGATGGCATCTGTCTATGCATGCCTTGCTATCGACACATTTCTATGTGCTCTGCTTAGAAACCCCCCACGCTCATAATCAATCCCGTCATGCAGTGCAGGCCATCAAGTAGATCTCTCATTGCATGATTTCCCTCCCTTCCCAATGCACATATTCCTCATACATCCGTGCAAACTCTATACACAATTTAGCCAAATGCGCCATCACACGCACATCAGTGAGATAACATCCCGTTGTCTTGCCATATGTGCACAATTCAGGCATGCTTGTGCCAAGGCATCAACAGAGGGCAAAGCACCGTCTATGATAAAGCCGTCGATAAGAGGTTAACAGTATCACAATATGCAAAGGTCTTGAGAAAAAGTCTCACCATCGCACTTTATGGAATATTCCATTGGTTAGGTCTTTGATGAGCAAGGATTTCAGCCTGCATGTGACATGGGCGTGTCGAATATAAAATATAAATTTTTGTTTGACCATTGACCTAAATCTTGTAGTTGATCGACCAATTGTTTTAGCTTGTTTTAGTGATTTAGTTTGTTTATTGCAACATAATAAAAAATTTCAAGTAACATGCTATTTCTGCTGTAATGGCAAATCCTTAGGTAAATAATAATCTTTAGGCTACTATTAATCGAAGTTATTTCTGTCTGGCTTAACTAGTAAATTTATTAAAATTGAGTGGAATAAGCTATAGATATGCTATGCCAATGCAATAGCAAGCATTATAAAATAGGCCAAACTCTAAAATATTACAGTAATGGTTTTTTTTCTGTGATAACGAACTTGAGGAAAATAAGTTTGCATTTGAAATGGGTTCCAGGAATGCCTAACTGGTACTTAATATGAAATTTAATTCCAATTCAATGAATAAGTTTAGTACTATCTCTATGTCACCGCAAACGTGGAAGGGGAAAAAGTTCTAAATGGACCCAAATGTTTACTTGTCCGTGGGAAAAAGTTGTATACGAGAGTTACACATAATAACGAAAAACACTACTTGGAAACAAATGATTAGACAGCAATTTGACTCGTATGGTATTATGGTCGTGGTAATGAGATGTGTTGCCTAAAACTGATGGTGCTATGATCCATCTCATTTTAGTACATGTTTGCATCCTATGTATGCTATTTTTGTTTTCTCATGATTGTTTGAAGTGATCTGGACATCAAACCTTTGAACAGGTTTATGATGTCACAAAATTCTTGGAAGACCATCCTGGTGGCGATGAAGTTTTGTTGTCTGCAACAGGTAATATCACTGAATGTGAAATGTTGTCTGTGTTATCACGATGTTTATTGCGATATTTTCAACATCACATGTACAAATTATTATGCATAAGGTCATTAGATCGTATGACAATTCTGATTTTTTTTCTCGGCAGGGAAGGATGCAAGTGACGATTTTGAGGATGTCGGCCATAGTAGCAGTGCAAGGGCAATGATGGACGAATTCTATGTTGGTGACATTGATACAACGACCGTCCCCACCAAAACCCAGTACACCGCTCCAAAGCAGCCTCACTACAACCAAGACAAAACATCTGAGTTCGTCATCAAACTCCTTCAATTCTTAGTTCCCCTGGTCATCTTGGGTGTGGCCGTTGGCATCCGTTTCTATACAAAATCTTCAGCTTAAAACATAAGATTATATAAGTTAAAATCCCCTTCTTGTTATACATTAGTTTGCGTATATTGGGGATTGATCCATATTTCAACTTCTGTGGTAATGGGGATGGTTTTGGCTCTTTACTCTTGAAACCTAATTATCTTCATCTGGCATGCTTGTGGTAATCAAATATTTGCCTTGTCATGAGTTTTGGTTAGTTCTTACTTCCATCACGAGTTTAGATTAACTATACACGTTACTGAGCTTTATGGTAGTATCATTAACGTACATTTTTGGGAAATCTAGTGATTTTTGAGCGCTCAACAGCTGCATTTCTGTGTCATGAGTTGTTGTTGGATCAATGAGATTTGTTGGCGGTCACCTATTATACTTCGTTTTACTTTCTTGGCGGGGGAAACTCTGTTCAGCTTGTGGTAGTTTCAAAATTTTCCTGTAGAGGGCATCTTTACAGGCAATTCTTCATCTTTCCTACTTCCAAATGATAATAGATGGTGTGCTGTAGATTTATACTCCTGGAGATTGATTCCAGGCTTGAACTCGAGGGAAACGCAGAATTTAATCAACTGGTTAATTGCTTAAAACATTGATGCTATAACAGGAATTGATTTTGCTGGAGCTGTTCCTAACATAGTTTTAAAAGTATGCTTGGCTATCAACTCAGAAAAGTTAAAGGGTTAAGGCATGAGCTTCAAAGGTCAAAGTGAGGTTGGACTGAAGTCTAACCCGCAATTGATTTTGGTTGAACCGGTTGGTTTTGGCTTCATTACATTGCTTTTCAGAGACTTCAAATTCAATGGGAAGAGAGTATTTTTCTTCTATAATTCAGCTACATGTATAGAATTTTTGTACAGATAGGTTGATAGATGCATGCGTGGCATGTATCTGTCCCTTGATTTGAAGATACAAGTAGAATAATTGTTTCTTTTAACGTCAATACAAATTTTAGCAGCTAGTGGGTAGATTGAAATGGTGTTGAAGTATGGTAACACGATCCTTTTTCTTGTTACTAGTTTGTAATAAGTTATAAGTTCAATGCATGGGATAAGCATTTAGTATACCACCCCCCATCCATTAGAATTTCTTCCATGCAAGTGATGCAAATTAGGGGGGAAAATAGAATTTATAGGTAAAGAACAAAAAGTTTCTTCCACTTTATAGAAGAAGAGGACACGCCAATAACAAAGATTCAAATGTTACGATGCAAGAAATGGTCCCAATGGGTCAAGGTCTGCCTGCTGATAATCGGAGCACACCTACTAGAGTGCAGATGTGCTGTACCTAATCTCATTAGTTGTCCCTTCAAATAAATATAGACACGTCATCCACACGAAAAGCCGAGGGCTTAACTCGGTTAGCAAAAGGATAAAAATTGAGGCCTTCAACGTTGAAATCAACTGTTCAAGAAGATGAAGAAATATTTATGAGAAATGTGAAGTCACCATTCTTCCATTTTCAAAAAATTGGTCAAATTTAGGTCAGACTCTTGACGTTGAGTCAACTAACGGATTTTTTGATAAAACCGTCTAGATGTCCATTCATAGCACAAGTTTGAAAGGAAGGATTGAAAAAGTATGGGTGAAACTTGCAAAAATTTGAAGGAATGTTTTTTAATGCCCTTAAATATAATAGAATGTTAGTGATTTATTGTGGTAAAATTAATCTAAATTTGAATTACCCCCCGACACTGCATTGCAAGGCCTGATGTGTTCAAGTTTCCATGGATTGTTGTACGGCCTGAATTAATTGTAGTACCAGGGAAAGCGTTCTATTTAGTATCTTTCCATACCGTGCACAAATTGTTGGAGTCTAAAATAAAGCAGCATAATCGGCATTCTTCGAGTAGAAATCAATCTGACCATGATTATCATTGTTGCCATCATCATCACGTGATTGATCAAAAATCTCCGATGAAATCAATTGCTGGAGTGCCTCCAACCATCTATAGAACGACATATACTACGGTGGACAATTTGATAGTATGAACTCTTGTGATCATGAGGACGAAGATTCTGATGAGAGTCACCACAAGTCAACCTTCTTCAAATCATGGAATAGTGCTCGTAAAAATTTGACACCAAGATAGAGCTGATTGTGAGATTGATTCATTATTTGATAGTACATGACGAGAAACCCGGGTCCATGTGTAACAAGCCCCAAGCATGACAATGTGTGGCTGATATCTTGTATGAGGAAGTCAGATAGTTTGGGACAAACACAAATATTTGAAGTTACGGGGCATTATCAAACTTGGAAAAAAGTTGTGAAGAATTTTTCATTCCAAAATTTTACATCCAAAAAAATATAGCCCATGTAATTTTAAATCCAAAAATTTTCATGGGTAGGGTGTAAAATTTCAGAAAAATTTGATGTCAAATCCCATGTAATTTTTTTTTTCATAAAATGATATAAATTAAATCGAAAATGTGTCTCAAAAAATAATAATAATTGAAATTTTTTAAAGAAAATAGAAGTTATACGTCTCTTTTTAAGAAATATGTTTGACGCATTTTAAGTTATTTTCGATATCTGTTTAGTCCATTCAATATGTCTACGATGTAGTTCTCAAAATGAGCTTCAAGATGACATAGGCGATTTATCGATTTGACTAGCGTACGATCATCGTAAAATTTTTGAAGTTAGCATTTATCAAAATTCTGAAAATATTAGTTTGGAACGACCAAGTTATGACATTTGCTATGACCATTTCAAAAACCATTAACAAAGTAGAAAATTAGACCATGAGCACTTTGAAATTATATTAAGAATATAATATTTCCATTTATTTGACATCTCATAATGACTTCGAAAATTGAGCCAAAAAAAAGAGCAAAGTTGGTGGATCGTGTGACATTGTGAGTCAGGGACGGATCCTGCATCTGGCGAGCCCCAGCGGCTGCCCGTGCTGAATCCGTCGGAAGCTCTTTTTTTTTTTTTTTTTTGTTGATGATAGGTGAAAGATTTATATTATATATCTGATAATTCACCTTCTCCTCAAAATCTCCTATAGCGTTGCTGGTTGAGACTTTTACTATCAAATATGAGGGCTTGGGTTCGATTTTTCTTCAAAGCATTTTTTAGTGCTATTTTCTTGATTCAACAATTTTTTCCTAAAACTAATGCAAGAGAAGGATTCGAACCTTTAACACCACTTTAAGATGGTTGAAGCTTTGATCATCATTTCACTCATTGACTTGTGACACTAAATGTAGCAAAATTATATATGTTCAAGTTTAGACTTTAGAGGTTTAGATACAATTAAAAGGATTTGAACCTTAGACCCTCATTTGAATTATACAACTCTTGGCCAATATGTCACTTATTGGGTTGAAACCATAATTGTCACAGAAATAATATATATTCATTTTTAGCACAAATAATTGTTATATTAAATTTGAAATATTTTATTGTGACAAACAATAAACGGCCGCCCACCCGTGCTCACTCCAAGTCCTAGATTCGCCCCTGATTGTGACCCATGCCCATCCCTGTATCTATCCCTGCAAATAGTGTTAGGAATTTGATGAAGTTCAAGGTGACTTTTACCTCTCCGATTATCATTCCAAGTACTCTGAAGAGTCTCCAAAATATCAACGGCATGTTATGACTTCTTAGAATGATACTGTAAGGCAAAGGAGTGTTAAATCGGGCAGCTAAACTGCTCAGTTAGCCTACCGCAGGGCAAACGGGCAAGCAGGTAAGCGCGCTCGTGCTCACTCGTCAGGGCAAATTGGGCGTGAGCTAGCTCATCTCAAGAAATATAGGCTCAGTTTGTTTCACAAGGTTGCCCCTTGGTAAGACGAGTCAGTCAAATTTTATTTATTTATTATTATTATTTTGTTGACAATTGCAATCTCACTTCTAAAAGTACGATAAAGACGTAAATTTGTAAGAAAAGTGTAAACGTAAGAAATTATATATTTGTACAAACGTCCTTCTTCTTTATTCAGGCTTGAGACCAACTACAATACGTAGGTCGAGTTAAAACTATAGTCATGTGAATATTTTCGTGTAAATTATTTTAAAAATAAAATAAATACAATATAATAATGAAAAAAAAAAGAAACATAATTACAATTCCATCTTCTTATTCTACAATTGCACATTTGAAAAGATGTCAGAAGGACAACTTCATCTTCTTGAAGCCATTGAGCAGTACAAATATGTAATTCTATTTGGATTGTAATATTGCCTAGGGCACATGATGCATCTCGATCCAATATATGATCTCTTTTATGTTTGTAAGTATTGATAAAATCGTGGTGTTGTGAACAAGTCCTAAGCTACACTGGACAATCCTACATATTGATATTGTTGTACATTCCACCATTGGAATATATTAAAGAAATCAACCCTTACTAATAACTGGTCCAGTGTTGGTGATCCAAGCATATTGGTTTCATACATTTTTAGATGATGTATTTGTATCAAATGTAAAATTTAAACTACTTTAAAGCAACTAAAGCAATGTTCGACGCAATTTAATTTGAGATGGAAATCGAACACTGCAATTAATAAAAAGATATTTGGAACATAATGAAAAATAGTTTTGAATGTATTTTCCATTGCCACACATACCTAGGATAGCGAAGAATTCTTTATTGAGAATTAGAAACTCTATCACCAAGAGCAATAAAATCAAAGAAAAAATTAGACATGAGAGCACACTAGAATTTCCAATCCATTTAAAATATAAAGGTTAATTAGCATAAAATATCATTGCGTTTTAATGTTATTACCTTTCATTTTTTTGACAATTTTATCTCCATTTTCATCTTTCATCGCTGAAAAGTGCCATTTTCATCAATTGCACAATTAAAAAATGTATAATGACAAATATACCCTCGTAGTTAGATAAAATAAAAAACAAAAGAAAAATTAAAGAATAAAATGCAATTATATTCCAAAACTTAAAAAAAAAAACTGCAAATACGTTCATATAAATTATTAAAAGGATAATTACCACAAAAATTGCAATTATACTCCCAATTTTTTTGACTTTTTTGTTTTATTTAAATAGGAGGTTATATTTGTTATTTTAAGTTTTTTTTTTAATTGAGAAATTGATGAAAATGACATTTTCCACAATAAAATGTGAAAATAGAGGTGAAAACGTCAAAAAGTGAAAAGTAAGGATGGTTTGCATAATAATATTAAAAGATAAAGACGTTTTGTGCTAATTACCCAAATATAAATTATCCT